TCGGAAAAAATGATGCCTCGATAGGGGCTGTCTGTTAAATCCCAAATGGGATAAGAGAGCTAGCTCTCCTGGCATCTCTTCCACCCACTGTAGAAGGTGCCAGGCCCTAGTCACAGGCAGTGTTCATCAGTTTCAGGGGCAAATCCATCCATTTCCAAAACTTCAGTGAGTGGCGTGAAATAGGAAATGTGCTTCAATTGTCTCCAGAATAAAATTAACAATGTAAGTGCTAACATTTATGGGGCATTTACTCTGTGTCAGGCACTGGGTCATTTAATTTGATCCTTACCATGGCCCTCTGAGGAAGGTATTCCCGTTTTGTAGATGAGAGAACTGAAGCTAGTTAATGGCAAAGCCAGGACTCCAACCTGATTCTGATTCCCAAGTGTGTATTCATAAAAACTACACTACACTGCTGGTGGGTAAGACCCCTCTCCTTTGGAAATCCCATGCAATCAAGGGGAGAAAACAAGGGTCTGGAGGGAGAAGACGTGGGTGAATCATAGCCTGCATGGGTTAGCTCTGTGATCAAAGGTATGTCAGTATTCACTCGCGAAATAGAAACATTTACTTATATCACCTGGTTAGATTTTCTAAGAAAGAACTGATGCTGCTGTTAAATCATCAGTTAACCTTCTAGCCTCAATCTCCACAGGCATGAATTTACTTTATGAAGGAAAGATGGGCACTGAAGAGCCACAAACATGAACACACACACAAGTGTGTGCAAGCACATGTGGTTGGCCACCTGCAAGAGCAGGATAATAGAGGACGGAGTCTTGAGGTCTATAATAGTCTTCTGCTGCAGAGATCAGGAGATCAGATAAGCTTAAAAGGAGTATAGAAAGAACTGGGACTATGGAGCCAGAAAGATGGGCTGAAACTCACCTCTGCTGTGTACCGCTATGTGACCCTGGGCAAGTCACCTGATTGCCTGAGAGGATTACCTGTTCCTACTGGGGTTGAAGTGACCTGATACAAGACTTCTAGCACAGCAAGTGCTGAAAACATGACACCACTCCTCTTTTCACTGAGCAGGACATTGGCTTGTCCTCATCCTTTTGATTAACGACTGTTGCTAAAGGCTTCTTGGCTCAGGGATGGAGGTCACAGGGTCACTCAGGAGGCCCCCTCTGTTCCCGCACGTCCTCTTGGCCCTGCACGCTGGTCATTATCTCAGAACCAGTGCTGGTGCGGCCTGCCCATCAGTCTTACCTTCCTCGCAGCTCTCGCCCTTGTAGCCAGGGTTGCAGATGCAGGTGCCCATGATGCAGGTGCCATGGTTGCTGCAGGCCACGTCGATGCACTGGTTGGTGGGCACGTCGCACTCAGCGCCCTTCCAGCCGCTGTGGCACAGGCACCGGCCCTTCATGTACTGGCCATTCCCACTACAGAGCACGGGGCAGGAGGCTGCAGACATAGCACAGAGCTCTGCGTGAGTCCACCGTTGCTGCTTTGTCCCTGTCTTCCCTTGGCCAGCTGGTTTGAACAATAGCCTCAATATTTTGCCCTGTGTGCCCATCTGTTTCTCTTGCTTTGTTTGTTTCCAGCTTAAACACATCTGAAATTATAGGCAAAGGTGCGAAGTGCAGGGCCAGGTGGAGTTGGTGCCCACCATGCTGCTGGCCCCCTACCCCCTCGGGTTACAGTGCAGCCCGGGACCCTCTGTCAGGACGCCTCATTCTGTTCTTTGGTCTCATTGGAAATGACAGTAGCTGGGCCTCCTGCTGCCCCTTCTTCCCCCAGCACTCTCCTCCTGAGAGCACTCCATTTCCTTTCCACACCTCATCTGCAGTGCCACTTACTGTTCTTTAAGCAGCAAACCTCAGCTTCTTTTGCCTTTCTGGCCCCCACTCAAGCCCTGTACACTACTGCCCCGTAAGAGAACAGCTGAGCCCTATTTGGTGCTTTAAAGCATTATCTTTTCATTCTACCTTTTAGTGTAAAGGGCTTTGTGATCATCGGTACAAAGGACACTATATAAAAATAAATTATATTGCACTGTGCTGTAAGTACCTACCAGACTTGCTGAGGTACAATAAGGCTGTTTTATACATGACTCTTAACTTTAAGTGCATATGGGATGAGACAGAAATTCCTGTGACAGTGATGACTCATCTCTCCCTTCTGCACCACCTTCCAGGCCCCCACCTGGCTTCTTTTCTTTTTAAAGCACTCAGCACGTAATCACTGCACCTCCTTGGGCTGCCGGCTCTGCTACCTCAAACTGAGTCTTTCTCACAATTGAAAGAGTAAGCAGAACCCCCCAAGCTGCACCAGGCCGGCATTGGCGGCCCTGTGTCCTCGGCTTGGAATCCCATCTCCACTTCCCACCGATGGACACCACTGCAGCAGCAGGTCTCATTAAAGGGTCTCCTCAGGGGAGACTTTCTGGTCCTTTCTTTGTCCAAGTAAGACAGTTGCTCCCTTTCACTCTGACAGATGCCTCCTGCATTCAGCCTCGTTCAAGTGTGTTCTGCTTACTGAACTGCTTTGTAATGCTCTGACTTGTCTGCCTCCCAGCCTGAGAGCTCTGGGTGGAGTGCAGCTCAGTGCTGCACCCCAGTGCCTAGCATAGGACTGAGTCCTAAAGGGGACAGAGTAGATGCCTACTGAATGAGTGAAGAGGTGGGAAAACCAAAGGAAGAGGCCATTCTTGGGGGGTGGGGAGAGGCCATTCTTGGGGAGTGGGGATGTAGGAAGACCCTGAGCTCTCTTCCTCCCATGGACACACCCATGGACACCTATACAAGGAGTAATTTCTTCAAAATGGAAGGGTAAGATTTATTTTCTCAATGGAGTGCTAAATTCTCAGCAACTACAATCTCCGTCGGCATTTTTCTTGTTAACTCTTCTTGGCCAAAACTACAGGCTAAAGGCACAGGGAAGAGGCAGGGCAGCCTTTTAAACGATCACAATAGGGGTTATCATTAGCACTGTATGTGCCAAATAGCTGCAACATCAGGGTCTTGTGTGGCGAAGGACAGCCTTGCCTCCTAAGCCCCCCCCTTCCCCCCACCTTGTTGGCTTCAGCCAAGATTCTGTCTGTGCTATTAGAGGGTGTAATAGAGCAATAACTCAGGCCCCATCCCCTGGGCCACAGAGAAAACACAGCAGCTGCAGTGGAGCTTCAAAGACACCGGGCAAAGGCTGATTACTTCTCTGCTTTTCAAAGGACCCCTCTGCCACTCCCCACGCTGCCCCCAAACGGACACTAAGTTCAGCGAGGTTGCCCCTTCCTGGTGAGATGCACATGTGGGTACCAGCGGCTGGCCGGGCAGCGGCTGTGTCTGCAGACCTCCCTCTCAGGGACGGCCCTCGGGCTGGCTTCTGTTGGCCCTGAAGGAGCCTGAGGTGGTGCTCCTGCCCTCAGCAGCAGCGGAAACTGAGCTGGGCGCCTGGCAGCAGAGAAGGGGCTCACTTGCAGAGGCCTCACCTCTGCCGCAGTCGGGGCCCAGGAAGCCCAGGAAGCAGTGGCAGGTCCCCGAGATGCAGTCTCCGTTACCGAAGCAGTTGCTGGGGCAGTTATCCACCGATTCTGGGGGAGAAGAGAGGGAGAGTTGAAGACAGAAACCCCTTTATTCAAAGAGGGGATCCCAGAATCCAGCCCCAGGTTAAGCCTGACACACACGAGCGCTTCCGGAACGTCGCTGAAAGGAAGCGGGAGGGTTCACAGTGTTACTTGTGCTCTTGCTGAGGTGTTCTGGAAGACACCTGCCTTGACCATTTTTTAGGAACCAAACCTGTATCTACAAATGCGTTAGAAATTCTTTAGCAGAGAGCGTTGGAAACCACCCTTCAGCTTATTGACAGTGTTTCCCTTTGGATACTGGGCTATTGGACAATTAAGGTGGTCTTCTTTATATACTTGTGTTTCACACTTTTCTTATAATGGAGTAATATTCCATGAATTCATTTTTTCATAAAATGACTGGGCCTCTGTAAATCTGTCTTTTCTTACCGCTCATTTTTCATCTAACAGTCCAGGTTCCCCCACTTCTCATCTAGGTTAATGCAGTGACCTCAGCTTCCTCTCTTGTTCTCCACCTGATTCCTTCTCCACCCAGCAGCCTCACTGTCTTCTCTGGAACAAATCTGATCCTCTTACATAAAACTCCTTCCTGACTCCCATTTGCCAAGATATAAAAATTTGAGGCCTTTCAAAAGGCATTGGATTTTTCTCTTATCTTTCCTTTGCCCTTCCTTCATCCCAGTCTCTGCTAGCATGTCCATATTTTTTCTGGAATGTTACTTTCTCTACTTCTTCCTAATACTTTTGGTCTACTCTGTGTGACATGGCCAAGAAATAAAGCATTCATTTCAGAAGATTCATCAAGAAATTAATTAGTCAATGTTTGTAGCTCTACTTAGTAAATCTGTTATCTAGAAAATCTCAATAATGCCAGATGAAGAATAAAGCGAAGAAGCCGCTGTGTACTGAACTGCCATGTATTTTCATGCAGTTTATCTCATTTCACTGCCACCAATTTTTTGAGCATGTGTTGCTATTAACACACTTTTTAAAGGAGTCTGAGAGAGAGAGAGATAAAAGTACTCACTGAAGGCCATACAGCTACTAAGACACATGGAGGCAGGATTTGAACCTAGGCCTTTGGTCCCAAGTCTGATTATCTCAATGATAATACACTCTCTGGGCCTTGCAGAGACATGCCAGAGGTCTCAGACTGAGCAGCAGAGTCAGAATTGCAAGTAGAGGAAAAAGTCTGCAGGGAGAGGCAGAGCTAAGGATTCAGCCTCTTTCCCTAATTTTCATCTGTGAGGAAGCCAAGAATAAAGCCTCTGTTAAATAAGATGTTAGCATATAAGACAGGAGCCCATGTCCTGAAATTTGCAGCTTATCTGGGAGAAGGAGATAACTGTCCCTTGGATGGAAGCAGGAGCCAGGGAAAAAGCTCTGCTTGGACATAAGGAGACCTGCATGTGGGTCTATGCTAGGTGCCAAAAGCAACTTCCTTCCTCTCTCCAGGCCTCATCTTCCTCAAATGCAAAATGAAAGCACTGGCAGGGGTGACCCCTCGGACTGCCTTCTGTTCTAAAATTCTTTCTATCATGAAGAGCAACAGTGAAGAAAAGGCATCCAGAGAAAGCCATCAAGGCTTGAACACTTCAGGTCAATGCAATGGCAACTGCTATGGGGCAAAACCGGGAGAGCAGAGGCTTTTAGGAAGAGATGGACTTGAAGAGTGGTTTGGGTATCAATAGATGGGATGTTCAGAAAGCCCATTCCCAAGTGTCTGCCATTACCGACTTGGAAACTATTTAAAAACTTAGGAAAAGGGGGCAGGATATGGTTCCTTTTGTTAACGGGAAATCCCACACACTCCAGGTCCCTCTTTAACACAGGAGCTGTTAAGAACAAGAGGTTCTGGGCTTCCCTGGTGGTGAAGGCAGTTGAGCGCAGCGCTGTGAAGCTGTCCACAGCCTCTGAAGCACCAGTTCAATCACCACCGGCCTCAGAGCAACCCACATGGTGCAGCAGACTTCTCCTGTCCTGCCCGCTGCTGCCCTCAGTAGTGTATTTAATCAGTCTGCCTGTTCTGTTACCCGCTCTGTCTCTGGTGAATCCTCTCACCCTCCCACGCATCTGGCCTGTACCCCAGCTCTTGTATAAATTAAAAAAAAAAGTCTTATATAAATAAAAAAAATAAAAAAATAAAAAGAACAAGAGGGTCTAATCCAACATGTGGCCTCACTTCAGGTCTGGGTCACAGCAGAACAAGTTTCAAAAGCCAGGGCACTGAGGGACCCGGCTTTTCACTGAATTTTCTGGGAAGAATCCATGTTGTCATGCCTAAAAGTCAGAAGAAGCTTCCTAGACACTGTTTTTATAAGGGATGACTTAGGACATTTCATTTTTAATATTCCTTTAAAAAATAAGAACTGTGAGTAAAGTTTAAGGCAATATTATTTTCACTTGAAGCTACTTGCTAAGGGTACAAGTGGAGGGTGGGTGTCTCCTGTTGCAGAAGATACACACGGCTGGAAGGCCCAAGGCCTGGCCTCCACATCTTGCTTTGTAATGTCATGGCTGTGGGGCCTTGGCCATGTCACTTAATCTTTCTCTTCTGTTTCTGCATCCCCTACTTAGCAACCCCTATTCCTTCTTTTCTATCCAGCTCAAAGATTTCCTTTAACATGGCTTCCTGATTTCTGAAACAGACTAAGTTACTCCATATAAAAAAGCACCACATAATCTGTGTTGTTGCCTGAGAACTCTTTGAAGGCAGAAATGGAGATCATTTATGTCTGTATTTGCCCTGATATTCAGTCTACAAAAGGGGTTCAATCAACGCTTATTGCTACTCCTGAATGAATTCAACTAATCAACCTCAGACATCCCTCCCAGATCTAAAATTCCATGGTTCAGTCCTTCTCAAACCCAATAGGACAGACTATGTCTCCTAATAAAATTACTGTAATTACTAGTTGGATTTTTAACAGGATCAATGGCAGGTAAGTGTTGTGTACTTCATAAATTTTGATTCACAAAGTCTGCAAAGTTCAGACATGTTAATCATATGCCAACAAGTCTTCTTAGAGAAAAAGTGAGGAAAGCCTATTTTCTGTGATGGAGTATAATGCTGGTTGCTAAACCTGACAGAATAGAAGCCTGTTTGCTACAAAACTTGCCCCAGGCTACTGGTGTCAGAGAAGGTAGAAATTTTGGGAGACATGGAATAATTTTAGGACTGCAACAAGGAAGTAGAAGGGAGACATTTGGAAAAATTTCCTTTTGTTGAAATGTTTATGTATATAGTTTTTCTTCCATTTGGGAGGATTTCAATGACTTGGAGTCTGCTTGGGATCCCACAAATAATGAGTCTCCATCGACTACATATTTTGATGCTAAATGCTCACAAAGGGTCACTCTTTGGCCGGGAGATACATGAACTTTATTCATGAACATGCTGTATGTTCCCAGTTAGTGTCTGGTGAATTACTTCCCCCTATTGGCTCCTCTTGCTTTGCTTATGTTCAAAAAGCAGCTGCCTTCATTCATCAGGAGGTGTACCATTAGATCTTCTCAGATCTGGATTAAGAATCCAGATGCCTATAGATAACTGGGTGTTTCATAATTGGGTGTATGGTAACTTAGGAAACAGGGTCTTTCCCCCAGCTTTGTTTTTCTACCACAGCAGTAGGTCCTGGTAGGAAATCAGATTTTCAGGAACTTGTTTTTCCTTCCATTAATATTTGAATGCCCAGTTCAGTTCATTCTCTGGACATGTGTTATGAGGGGGTGTTCTCTGGATGTTGAAAAAAAATACTGCTGGAAATACAGAGGGGCATCTACAGGAGGAAGAAAAGACAACAAAGCTCCTTCCTGGAGGGGACCCTGGAGTGGAGAAACTACGTGGGCCTCGGGAACACACCACAGAGCCTCATTTTGCCTGTTCATTACCCATCTGTGGAATAAATCTTTAGTGTCACCGTATCCAGGTGAAAGATGATTACCATTGATGATATAGCCTCCTGAATTTAGGGCTGAGGTCTGGGAAAACCTGCTTTCATTGGCCACCTTCTGCTATTCTTTCTTAAAATCCTGAAGTCTCATTTTGTAGGAAACAAGCAGAGGCCATGGAGGAAAATCCTGTATGGAAGAGGTATACCAGGTAGCCCAACTGCCCAGGGGATTCATGTTTCACAGGGACAAAGTACTAGCAGCAGAAAGGAGGCTCTTTCACCTTCAGATCTCCATGGAGTGGGCACGCCCACCTCTTGCCCTAGCCTGAGAACACAACCCTCTGTGGTCAAAGGAGCTTGCTTTACGGCTGCAGCACCAAAGACAGGAAAGAATCAGTTATGAGTGAGGTTGGAGGCTGATAGCCATTCTGGGTCTCTCCTTTCTTCACCTACCATTTAACCCTCCCTTCTAGTGCCTTCTTGATGTCTCTCTGATGTATTCCAGTTAACAGAAGTCTGCACTTACTACCTACAACTCCTTCCTCTGCTTCTGTTGTAAAATTGGATGTTGACAACTAAGTACCCAGTAGAAGAACCAGGGTCTCCCTACTGCCCCACAGAGATCCACCCTCTGATGCCTCCTCCTGGTTTCTCTCTAGGATGCTAATACTTCAGGCCAGAAGAACTTGGACTCTAGGACAGCTGATTGGATGATTGGATGTGTAACCTTATTGCAGCTAGTAAAATTTATACTCTAGGTTATATCTATTATATTTCCTTTACTCCTAAAAGAGGACCAAATTTACCATCAGCAACCAAAAGACGAAAGGGAAACAAACTGGAGAGCTTAGCTGGGATTTAATTCTATAGCAACTCCAGGTTGAGGGAAGAGTCTAACAGAGACCCTCTTGTTCCCTCAAATGGAACTGTGAGCGGTATATAATTATAATAATTATGAGAAATAGGCACCTTTGTTGCCATTTTGCTGTTTCAGATAGAGAATGAGATTGGAAGCCACTTGCTCCTGGTCACACAACTGTGAGGGTGAATTTTGTAGGTGAAATAACTTTTATCTGAAGTTAAAGTGTTTTGTACATGGTCTGGACCAAACTA